TACTGGCTGAATGCAGACCTCAGTAATGCAGAGATAATGCAGCTGGTTACTCTGCCAGTGGCAGAAAACACAGGCATTTTTAAAGTAACAGCCAAATGAAGTCACAGGAGAGAATGGACAATCTGAAGGGAAGCGTCAAGGAATTTTGTGTAACTGAAGTCAATCAGCTCTTCCAGCCATCGCCACTAACGGGGCTGGGTCAGCTCTCAGCTGGGCTTGGGGCACAGAGGAAAGGTTTTGTCATAGAATCCCAGAGTGGTTTGTGTTGGAAGGGACCTTAAAACTCCTCCAGTTCCAAACCCCTGCCACGGGCAGGGACACCTTCCACTAGAGCAGGTTGCTCCAAGCCCCTGTGTCCAACCTGGCCTTGAACACTGCCAGGGATGGGGCAGCCACAGCTTCTCTGGGCACCCTGTGCCAGTGCCTCACCCTCTCACAGCAAAGAATTTCTTCCTCATACATAACCTAAATCTCCCCTGTATCAGTTTGAACCCATTGCCCCTGTCCTATCACTACAGTCCCTGATGAAGATCCCTCTCCAGATTTCCTGTCTGCTCCTTTAGGTACTGGAAGGCTGGCTGTTCAGCAGCAACAAACCAGCAGCAACATTGAAATCCCTTCAGCACTAGCACACAGTGAACTCTGGGTTGCTCACAACCTGATTAGAGACACAAGAAGGACCCGAGGCAGTGCATGGTGTGCAGCACATCTGAATGTCTCAGGGAAATAAGGCTGAGAAAAGTTTCTCTAGGAACTTCCACCTAATGCAAAGAGGCAGCAGGGACTGACTGTACTTGAGCGAAGTGACATTACACTTGCATGAGCAAAGACTGTTTTTTTACTATAGGTTCTAGCAGATGCTCAGTTTTGGGTTCCTACCACAATAGTTTACAACACATTTGTTAAACTTGTTCCTAATCGCTTTAATATCACTAGAAATAAGCTGCTCCTTTTGGAAAACAAGCGTCCACACCCACACTACCTCTGGCTCCTGTTCAGCTTCAAGTCCCACATTGCCCTGTCTCCACCATCCTCATGCAGACAAGCCCATGGTCCACATTACAAGAGCTGGGTGGCATTTGGCCAATTCTACAAGGGATCAGCTGCCTCCTTCCTTTGTTTTAACCCAAGAATGAGCTGGTGCTGTCACCCAGCCTCTAGCATTTGAGGGCAGACAGTGAAACATACCCTTCCCTCCTTATAAAGTATCTTCTAAGCCCCAGCAATAAGATGATAAAAAAGATCAGAGACACCTATATGGGAACCACCTCAGGTTTGTTTTTGCACTGTGCCTATGCAGTCCAGGTAGGAATATTATCACAAGCCACAGTCACTGGAACTGATTCCCTCTACTTTCCTCTTGAAGGGAGCAGACCTCAAATGGCATTCTGGGGTGCTCACACGAGTCAGAATTTATAGAGTCTAAACAAGAACTAGAGCTAGCATTTCTTCCGTAAGAACCTATGTCCTATACCCTCTCTATACTCCACTTTTTATTTCCCTGTTCTTTCCACAGTTCCTGGTAAAAACATTTATGTGCGTCCTTAACTGATACCTTCTCCTAAGCTCCTACATGTATGAGAAACAGAAGTTGAAGCTGGGTAATCTGCCTAGCAACAAATTAATTAGGCTGCTGCATTGGGGAAATCTAACTGGGATCATTGATCTTTGCACAGTCAGATCCAGCAATATCAAAACCTAGGGAGGAATGTTCTTCTCCACCATATGCAGCCCAATTGCCTTATCTGCACCACTTCGTGCACTGAGTGTTATCAGCAAATGAAGGAAGCCAACAAGCAGAGGACTTCAGAAATAAGATAGCAGCAGTGCTCTTAAATCACCAGGGGTTTTTTATTCATATAAAGATGTGCTGATGTCTCTGACAAAAGAATGTTCATGAATGTTACGAAGGTGTTAAGCAAGACAAGAAACCCAGAAATTGGACACAAAATTGAGAGTGATTTGTATGAAAGAAAAACAGGCTGCAAACTAGAAGTGAACAGGGCTCTACTGCTCTATAGCTTATGGATAGGATCAGCAGAGGGCTGGGATGCGAGATGGGAACCTCAAGAAGTTCTTGGCAAAGATCTGCCCACACAGGAAGTGGCAGGAAGAGAGCAAAACCTTACAAACACACTTCAATAGATGCTGCTTGTTAATCAATGTGGCCTTTCATAGAAAGTCAAAAAAAGAGAGAAATGCTGACAAAACATTTTGAAGCCACCTTTGCCAGCCTTTACAGGAATGGGAGAGCAGCCTTGACAGCTGAAAACTCATTTACAGCAGCACTCACCCATCACAGCCAAGTTCTGAATACTCACACTCTGTTCACAAGGTGTTAAACCCTTCACTGCTTTCCTTCATCCATTCGACAGGAAGAAGGCCAAAAGAAGATGACTTAAGAAGAATTTTAAGAGGACTTCAAAAGAAATGGACCAACTTTCAGTACTAATACTTATCAAAAGGAGTGTCAGTGTATCTACAAGGCAGGGATAAGCAGCCATCAACATACATATGCCACCCCACTCTTAAAGGAAAGATACCTTATTTTCCCCCATTTCCTTTAAACCAAAGTTTCTCTTTGAACTTCTTTTTTGACACAGAAAATAACTTTATTTTATACCCACATATATATTTGCATGTGTATAAATATATTTCTCCCAAACAAGACTAGGACCCCATAGGATTCTTTATAAACTGAGCTTCATTGTGGATTTCAATACAAACGAAGCATATAGAGACAAAGCCACTATAAATATGCATACATTTTTCACTAACCTGTAAGTTAAATGAGAAGTAATGTGTCAGAGTAACAACAGCTTTAGGTGAAGAAGCAGTTTTGCTCACAGCAATTTGAAATGCTTTGAACTGGACTGTAGATCATTCAGAATACTTGCTTGTCCAGCCAGGTCAGTGATCCATCCATTCATCCATCCATCTATATACTGGTGAATAAACAAAATGACAAGTGACCAGCTCAAAGCATTGGTTTTGCTTATGAGCAGAATATTTAGGACAGAAAGAACAATTCTGTAACATCCTGTATCATGGTTTTAGATCAAAACTTCTCATTTCAGTTGAGGAGATGCAGTGAACTTAAGTTCTACTAATGAATACTTGGCACGACAGCAACCAGAATCCTCTGCCAGTTACACACATGGAAAGTATAAAGTTTATACAATAGAAATGACACTGCTGTAAATCTCCACATACTCAGGTTAAAACATCCTATTTGGGTTTGCACTGCATTTCTATAAAATAACAACAAAGAGTTCTGTTTAGGATGGATGAAGTTGAAAGCAGAAAATACTTTCAAAGACTCTTTAACTCTCACCTTGCCACAGAGTTGACTTCATCACTGACACTGTACAGGGAAGGAAAACTCTGCTCAAAATACTCTGTATCATTCTTGCTTGAAATATCTTTTTCCAGAGATCAACTAAAGCAGTTCAGTCCTTACAGAATCATCTTCTTCCTTTGGCTGTAAATATCCCCATGGAAACAAGCAATGCTATCAGACAAACGAGCAGAAGCAGAGGAGGCTGAATGAAATCCTTCAAATACAGTCTCCAGAAACAAAATGGGACAAGACAAGCCACCCAGAAAACATGAACTCTGCAAACCTCATCCCAGCTGCTGCTTGAGCTCCCCATCCCCTAACTGTTCTATTCTAGTCATTCACTCTACACCAAATTTTTGCTTTAAGTATTTTTAACGGACAAGAAAACCAGCACAGGTAATTCAGGGATATTAAACATTCCTGGGACCCAAGTATGATGCAACGACCCATTTGGACATTGTCCAGGACACAGACTGAGCTGGCAGAGGTCTAAGTTTTCCCACAAGGCAGATGAAACCACAGCCAACCCCCAGATCCCAGGGGCAGAGAGACATATAAGGTCTCTTTGGGGGCCTGACTCAACAGACTTCAGGATCTGCAACCGCAAAGAAGTATTTTCAGATACAGACCTGCAGTTTTCAGGTGTGAAGCAGATGCCTTTTAATAGATATGAATGCAAGAGGTTAAGCAGCATTGCCATATAACTTACTGCATACACAGCAGAAGTTGTCCACATAGGTGGATAAAGTTGCCCTAAATTGAGGCAAAATACTTCACATTAACTTCCTACATGTGCAAAACAATTAAAGTTAAGATAAATTAAGTGATTCATGTGATGTCAGAGGCCTGTGATAGAATAAAAGAGAAGCCAGGAGCTCAAACCCCAGTTCATGCTACTTCACTTTTAACATGATGTTTAAAAAGTTGTCCCCACATATCCAAGTATTAAAGAGCACATAAACCTCATCTGCTCCATGTTGTTGATGCATCCCTTTAACAAAACTTATAAGATCTGCTCTTGCCTGTAAGCAGTAACATTTTAACATTCACATTTTGAATGTCTAATGATTTGGTTTGTTTTTTAACTTCCATCATTTAAATACAAATCTGACCTTTTGCTCTGTATACACATACTCAGTTTTCTGGAGTTTGAGCTGTGACAAAGCATGTTTACTGTTGCTGTATGGGAGGAAAATGCTTCTATTCAAAAGATAACTCAGTAAAAAGCCCTTTAAACTATTTCTATTGACAGTGGAATTTGTCATTTCTCCCCACCTTCTTTATAGAAGACATTTACACAATTGGCCATGACTGCTACAGTTCCAGCTTCACAGTCTTACTAATTTCACACACAATAATTCAAAAGCAATTAAGACCCCAAAGATTTCCTGGTAGTGCCCTAAATTCATGCAGAGGAAGCAGCTCACTTTGGTTCAAACCCACGATCAGAAATCATTAGGAGCTGCCCAAATCCACAGCCTCTCTGAACACAGGATGCAGTTTGGGTCTTTTGAATCCCACCAATATCTTCCTGTTGTTACTACCAAGACACTGGGAACAAGCATTCTTGTGCTACTTCAGATACTGTGTGTTTTACCTCCCAGACAACAGTCACACTTAGCTGCTGCTTTGAAAATAGACAAACTTCCAGGGTTTTCAGTTTTATTGGATGCTTCCAACTTTTAATAATATACAGATACTCATTTTTATATTGTTCCATTCAGATCCTCACAGAGTTCAGCCATTCTGTCACATTCAAATAAAAAAAAAAAACCCAGAAAAGCACAACTGAAATAAAATAGAATTTGTAAGCTGGAAAAATCCATTATAAACTTATATTCAAGAAACATTCTCTTTATAATTAAAACCCTACTTGTAATAATTAAAGCAGGATTTAAAGAAAAACTTGATTTGCATTTTTAAATAGGCGGCCTTTGTGTATACTTTTTAATCATCTCATATGTACAATGCCAACCAGTATCTCTGCCTCCCTGTGACAGAATACCTGAAACAAAACAAAAAGACACTGAAAAGGAGTTTTTAAACAAAACAAAAAAAAAAAAAAAGAAGAACAATATTCATTTTCCAGGAAAATACAGTATAGTCAGAACTTGAAACACATGCTTCCCTCATCTCTATTAAGGCCTAGGAGACAGATGTGCTTTAATAAAAGCAGACAGTATGAAGAAAAGTCCTTCCACTTTTCTCTTCAAATTCCTGTAACAGCTCATCTATTTCATTTTCCATGTCTTCTGTGTGCTGTATCTAGAAGAGAAAAAAACCCACTAAGCAACCAGACTCCAAGGACACGATGTAGCTTAGAAAACTGTAATAATTCAATGCTTGTGGCTTACTGTGCAATCTAAACTGGGTGCTTTATTGAGATTCCCAAATATACATATATTCTGCATCATGTTTATCTGCATATCCTTCTTCCTCCAACCCACTGAACTGGCACTTAACTAGTACTTTGTTGAGTAGGCAACATCCATCCTCGCTAGGTAACAAATGGAAGCTTCAGAATAGCTACAAGCACACTGAACAGATGGTTAAAATTGCAAGTCCTTGAACCCTTTTAGGCTTTTTGAATCTGGAAGGGATTTAAGACCAGAATAGATCAAACAGGCTAGAGTGAAAAAAACCAAAGCCTATTGCCACACTGGAATAGGTGAACTCAGCAACTTGCACAGTGTAAAAGGACTCAGATCCTTCCTCTGGTCTCCTGACAGTTACATCAACTGCTCTGTGTGCAGCTTATTTCAGTCTTCAAGGACTAGGCCCCTGAATGTGGACGACAGAAGGCACCATTTTTCTCTTCCACATCATACATGCAAGAGTGGTACTACAAAATACACCTACATAGGATGTTTTTCCAAGTGTATCATGATTCAGAATGCAACTCTGATGTTTAAACCCCCACGTATCACAACTGCTTTTGAAACGCTGTTTTTCCCCATAAACAGTGTTTTGAGTACAGGCTCAGACTGCAATAGTTACACACAGTGCTCTGTGATACTGCTTTTTTCATCAGTGCTTTGGTTTGAATGCACACACACAGAGTCCACTTTGGAAGCCATGAACTCAGTCACAATTCCTCTGTTTGCACAACAGCTCCAAAAATAACCTCAAGACTTTGGAAACGTACATCTTTTGACAAGGATTTTACTTAACTTTTGCAATATGCAGCATCTTTAAAGATTAGTAAGCAAACCCCAACCCCTGTGCAGTCAGCTGGGTCCAAGGAACCCGTAGGCAATGAGCCCTCTCTACTTACACACTGGCAGAGCTCACAGATAAGGAATGCACCCAGTGTTGCCTCCTCATGGTTATCCTGAATGTCCACATTGATCACATGTACTGGCTGACATGTCTCCTGCTCTCTGGAATTTAAATCTATTTGAAAACAAAATACATGTAACAGCAAACTTTTGGGTGGAATGGTATCATATTTTACAGAGTATCCATAAGACTTTTAAAAGTACATAGACATTGTGCACATCTTCCTTCTTGAGTGCAAAAATCACTCAAGGTTCTTCCTTTAATTGGTCAGCTGGGCATTATCATGAATTTAGAGAGATGCACCACTGGGACATTAGCAAGTGGTTGCTCTTCACCTCCCCTTCCTCAGGATACTCATTAGAGTGATAGCTGCCTTCTATGTGAGACATGCTCATATTGCTGAGGATCCATTCAAGTACCAGGCAGTTGCTCTGAGAACTTACTAACACATTTCAAACACTTTACTTAAACATTCAGAACACTAATTGCTCAGCTTGCAGAAACCCAAATGGATCATCCTCTGTCTTGCTTGTGACATGACCACTATGAACTGAAAAGGCAAGGCAACAGCCTTTTAAATTGTGTGCATGATCCTAATTCAGTTGCCTGGTCTTTCAAAGTGAAGGAAACACCTCAAACCTCACATAAACCTGTATTTCCAGACAGAGGCTTCTCAGCCCAGGAGCTGAATCACTGCTGAAACCCCGTAACTTTTGGTGAGTTCACATCAAGGTTGCTGCATTGTCTTCATGCAGAACCCAAACCCCAACTGAGATTCTTCTGGCGTATCTCACACTGACTCATATAAGGGTAAAGCTGCAGCATGTTTGCAGAGTGTAAACCATGCTCAAGAACAGTTTCTCCACCTGTACAGGAAAATTTTATCATGGATAAACTGCTTGGTAGATCAAAAGTCTGCAGAGAAGGGAAGTTGCATAAGGAACACAGGTTAGACTTCATTTGTCCATCAACCCAGGGTGGAAAAATGCTCATCACACACAACTTGCTAGTTTTCTAGATCCATGAGCATCTTCCAACCAAAACTGTTTCTCCAAATGCTTGCTATTTCCTTATAACTGCCATACATACACATTCTGTGTAGCTGCCAACGCCAGCATCTTTGAGAACTAAGTATTCAGCCACCACTTCTCTGGTACATAAAGTCTACGTCAGTGAACTGTGAGCTCGTGTCCCTGCTGGTGTTCAGCAGCCATAGTCAGAGGACAGAGATGTTTCCAGATTTGTGAAGGACTTCAGGAGGAGGGAGTGGGGAAAAGCACTCAAAGTTAACTTGGTTTATCAGTTCAAGGTCCTTACCTTCTACTACTTGATCATAGACTCTTTCTTCACACGTTAGGATCAAATCAAAAACATCTTTGCAGTTCTGGAATCTTTCTGGTCGTGGCTTGATTCTCTTATTTCTGTCCAACATGTGTAAAATCCCATTCTGTGTGTATCTGAAGTTGCTCGAGTTAAGTAAAATACCTTTACTTTAAGAAAAGTCATGGTTTTGAGCAAATGACCAGAACAAGTCAAATCATTACTGTATCTTTAAAATAAGATCGTTTATGTTTGCAAATATAAAGATCAGTGACCACTAAAAATAGATTGCTAAGGTGGCAGCACAATGCCCACAGCGTAATTCATGCAGCTTCTGGATTTCAGAGCCCTGTCACTGTCATTAGTACAATAGCAGAGACAGCTTTAAAGGCCCTCCTAAGAGCAGAGTTCCTCAGAAAGACAAGTTTCCTTGGGCAACTATTTTTATATCCATAATGCTTAGAACACAGACCTCACTGTTTGTGAGAGCAGAATGTCCTACATTCATTTAAATCACTGCCCCTCACCCTAGGGGCCTCTATCTTCAAAGTCAGTTATATGGTGTTTCCATTGTCCACTGCACATCTGCACTAAGTCCTGCTCAAGCCTCAGGTTTATGCAACTGAGCTTCGAAACAAAGCTAAATAAATCACAGGAGCATAGTCCCTTAAAAATATCCCAAGATATATATAAATGGGAATGAAGAAAAACACTGACTTTGTGCCTGTCAGAGCTTCAGTCACTGTGTGAAAGGAATCTGTTATGCTGCTTGTTAGCTATATTTATGCTGGTACTGTAACCTTGAGGCCCAAATTCACATCCTGTATCCCCCTTTCAGACAGGATTCACTTATCCCACTGTCTTCTCAGCCTTCCAGGACATGCAGATTCATTAGAAGCACATTGGGGTTGACTATCACATAAATCTGCTCATTTGACCGAAACCAAACTAACTGTAAGGGCAAAGTTTTATGGGTAAATGAGGAATAACAGGGAAGGTTTTGAATAAGAAAGCCTGGAAACTGATGCATCTTTCCTTGCTTTGAAGCAGCAGTATTTTTAGCCATCTAAGTATATAGTTTTAAATTAAAATAGCAGTAAGGATAACAGCTTCATTTCTTCAGATAACAGAAGGAATTTGAGTGAAAAACCTTCCACCATTAGTAGCATATATGTAAGAGGTCATCTTGGCTTATTTCCTTGTTGAAAAGGCCATATACATACCTAGCAAGTATCTTAATTCTTTACAGAGAACAGTCCTAATCCTTTGTAACAAAAGGCCAACAACTTTTTCCCCCCGTTTGCAGTCCCCCTCTGGTATCTCAGTTCTACTGCCCTGGGTAGATCTGTCCCTGCTAATCTATATGCTTTGAAGTGTTCGTGAACAGTTTTCAAGCAAACGGCCTCCAGAGCTTTTAAATCTTTCAAGTGTTTAAGCTCCATTCTAAATTAAATCCATCTTTCTACCTCTAAGAGTCTACTCGATATGGAAAATATGTTCAGTTCTTTTATGTGGCTGCACCATTGCACTTCTTAGGAACGTTTCAGTTTTGAATGATACGCTGTTTATCACAAATATGTTGTCAATTCTCTCTCAGCCAACTATTACTACATCTCTTTTCTTCAGCACTCCCCCCCAAAGCCTTTTACCTTCTTTCCCAAAAGATTTCTCCCTATATAATAAAGAACTGTCTTTTATAGCCCCAAGCTACCTCATGAGCAGCTCTTGCACACCAGCACCCCTGTAAAACTCTCACTGGGTCTGTCATGCTTGGAAAAAAACCCACTTCAATGACCCACTTCAATATAGCCATTTCAGACCTCTGGTTATTTGCAAACCAGGGAAGTGACTGCAACAGCCATTTTTAAACATCTGGCAAGCATCTGGTTCTGTTGCTCTGTTCACTTTGAAGGTGAGCCCTGCCTGGGCTCTACAGGCCTCATTTCTACATCATCCAGCTCAAGGGGAAAAAATCTGTAACGTCCCACACAGTTTTCTGGGTTCCTTTTTTTCCCTTTCTAGGATATAACACTGCTGGCATCTGTCCCCCAGCTTTCCTGACTGAGCTTGGAGACAGGATTACGCATATTCAGGAAACCCACACAGTCAAGCTTGCTGCTTCACACAGTCAAGCTTGCTGCTGCCAACTTACAGCTATTTTTTTTCCTCCAAGGGTCCATCTGCCTATAAAAGGAGACTGAAATAAGCAGTTAAGATTCATGACACTTTCATATTTGGTTCTCTGGAATCTTTTCCACCTGGAAAAAGAACAGCACACCATCCATGCAGCAAGCAGGGGGATGTGATCTGCATCATTGTTTTTAATGCATAATCATAACCCAGCTTCTTTCTCTTCATGATCTCAGGTGAATGCAAAGATATAAGAACTTATTAATGGTTTCCACTATAGTGCCAGATGTTGAGGCATTAAGTGAGGCTGTGCTTTCCTTCCAACAGATTTCAGCCCCATGCTCCCTGCCCTCTGTGCTTCTGCTCTTTCCTTCAGCAGTCATTTCTTCAGAAGGTACTCACAATCTTCCCCTGACTTTCAGTGCTGCTCTGTTGTCTGGCCACAACAGCCTTCTTAACACTACCATGCTCAGAATTCCATCCATTTATCACCTACTGCAAACTACTGGTATAGTAAATCCATCACATTCTTAAAGTGAGTCCAATTCAGGTATCACCTTTATTGGAGTAACTATGCTTAACAGATCCAGAACATAATGAAATGTATGCATGACAACTCAGTGTTGGAAAGACTTGGTATAAAATGGAGATGGTGTAATTCAAGTTGAGTTTTGCCAACAGACATGGCATTGTTCCTCATTCTTAGAGACAGCTACCCCCAGCTATTTCAACCGTTACTGACTGTGCATTCTCTCCATTTACTTAAGGATATCCCATAATAATGTATTGATGAAGATATTATTTAATACATGTATGTGTGTGTTTAGATTAAACCCCTAAGGCTTTCGTAGCTGCTGACTTCTTCTCAAGTCTGGTGGGGTCCCAAAGCTGCAGGCTACATACTCACACATCACTGAAAGCAGCAAAGATCCTTAGTTTAGCCTAGAGCTCAAGAGACAGACAACGACTTGTCAGTGCTGAACAGCTGAAACTGTAGTTGAGGATGAAACTGGAAAGCTACAAGCTCTGTCAAAAGAGGAAAAGAATGGGAGCAATGGCCAAGTCACTGCCAAAGAGCTGCAGAAGGGATATCACAAACTTACTGAAGGGATACCAGAGACAGAACACAAGATGGCCTCAAAGATGTGGCATGTTTGGCTATGCCATCAAACCTTGTGCACTTGATACAAGCGTGAAAGAGGACCTTGCTTTTGATTGCTGGAATCTGCAGTGTCTGGTCACTTGGCAAGACAGCTCACAGTACTGGCAAGTCCAGTACATGACATGGACATGTAAGAAAGGAATACAGAAACCATTATCATGACCAGCAGGCAAGCAAGAGGGTTCCTAAGTATCACACTTGACTTTTGGATGCTCTTCTCAGGCTTAGAAACAAGCGCCAGATTTCAGAAGATGAGCAGCAAATGTTGTAGGATTGGGTGGGGGGAAGTACTGAGGTAGCTGTGAGGAGAGATGTCTGTGAGAAAAACATTAGTCACTGCATTTCACGTCTCAGAGAAACAGGGTCTGCAACAACTATTTTCAAATTGGTTTCTGTTGTTGCCATTGGTTTGTACTGCGAAACTCAAAGGTAATTTTCAAGTAAATAACAGTTGTAGATGGAGAGAGTAACTCGGATAAAGCCATACATAAGCATTACAAACTGAAAACAATTAAGCCATTTCATTTAACGCATTGGGGAAACTGGAGAACACATTCATGAAGACAGCAGGACCACTTTTAAACAGCAGCATGCAGAGCAAGAAGCATGCTGGATGAGGTCTGCTAGTGCAACACTACAAACAGGAGACTGAAGAACAGGGGGATGTGGTTAATCCACAGTCTGAATACCAACCAGTTCTGCAAAGCTTACACTGACACAGCTTGTGTGCCTTGGGCAAACACTCACATGGGTCATTAGGATGTTTCTGTTCGTGCACTAAAGATCCTGAAGGCTGCCAGTTCTGTCACTGGCCAGCAACAAAGCTGGAATAGCTTCTGCCCTCAACCCCAACTTACTACCTGTGCAAAATACAGTACTTGAATCACTTCAGGGTTTTTCGTTAGATGATCTCTGTGCTTTGCCAATCAGAGGTATATGGCAGCAAGACAGTCTGAACTTAATTCACACATCCTGAAAGTGGATTTCAGTAATTAATACTACTTCCGATTTTAACATTACTTTTACTATGTTTCACCAAATCAGTCAAAATAAAGTATCCCATGAAGTAGCAGCACCATGTTTGGGGAAGATAAGCATCTAAATGCGTATTTCTAGTGAATTCCCCCTTTTGCTGACTTTCAGAAACTTACTGCAGGCTTTTTTTGATAAGAGCTCTCATGCATATGAATTTCTCAGGGCTGCCAGAGCTCTACCTGGGATATCAAGCCCTTCAGAGACTTCCTGCATGTACATGAGCAGCACACATAAACAAGATCTTCCAGCAAGAATTCCATGCCAGTAACTGTTCTCTGTGGGATTTTATAAAGACAGCTGTGTCAGCCAACTTGTTTCCACCGAGATGGAAAATAAGAAACTGGCACAGACCCCTCCTGCCATTTCCATGCTAGACTTCCAGTCTGCACTGCTAAATGCTTCTTTATATGCTGGGCCATTGCTGAAACCTGGCTGTATTTACTCCACTTGAATAAATCTGGCACCTGGACCCCCAACTGCCAAAACAATTCTATCTGAAATATAGAAGATCTGCTGTCCTTCACACAACAGTGACTCAAGTAATTCTGCCAGTACTGGAAGCACATGCCTGCACTCTAAGAGTACAAGGCATGTGACCAGTGTGAAATGGTAACAGCCACGTTATTTGGATTCCTCTTACCTTTCACCTTTTTCTCATCTTCCTTCTATCAAGATGTGGGTTATTGAACACGTTTGCAAACACACCCAAAGCATCCAATCAATCTTCCATTTCTACCTGTTAGAAGTTTTCAAAGCACTCCTCTGTAAGCAGCTGAGAGATGTTTTCTGCCATGCTATGTGGGAAGCTCC